TTCATGTAACAAGATGGTAAAAAATTTGGAATTATAATTGGGGGCGGGCGAAACCCCCGGATTTATTTCCGGGTGACCCGGGTTCCCCCCCCCCCCCCCCCCCCCCAAAAAAAAATCTTTCTTCCCCCCCTGTATAGGCTACTTTAAGGGCATGGGAGGGGGGGGGGGGGGGTGGAGCATTATAACAATATTGTTCTTCTGGCAAAATTCGGTACGTTATAAAAAAAATCCAAATTTAAAAAAAATGTTAGTTACGATTTTCCAAGTTTGTAAATACCAATTTTTATGATTTGGCGGAAATCTCTTTCTTGACTTCCATTTAATAGGCCCTTCTGTTCGAGATATTAAAAGAAAAACCTCTTCAAGTAATTAACTAGATGAATAGCCACATAGTCCAATACATTCGCTTTTGCAACTCACCAATATCCACTGCAAAGATTTTTGCAGTGTTTAGATTTCTGAACACCTCAGGCAAGGAAATGCTCTTTGCGTAACCCGATGGCCTTCCTTTTGTAGCTTCAGAATTCATAGTTTTGATCCAGAAGACGACAAAACAGAAAAAAAATTGCGCGTGAACTTTCCAAGTATTTCTGCTAAATCAGAGACACACCGTCCGCCATGTTGAATAATTGCTAATCGAGCCCGCGGTACTTATGACTTTCTTGGTTCCAGACCTTTACTCCGATACCTTTCCATGTGCACGAACGCACTTCTATCGTTGGTTTGTGTTTTCTTGTCATTTTGACTAATCAATTTGGGTCTCCAGAGATGACAAGACAGTGGTATTAACTCAGTTGCAGCCTTGACCATCTAGTAGGATTTCCTGACTAAAAGAGCAGTAGACTTGCTTTAATACGGGAAAACTTTTTTTAAAAAAAACTTCCGTCCTGACAGTGTATTCTTCAATACACACAAATCCCAACTGTACAAGTGTTAAAAGTTGGACAGAACTCTACAAAGAACGATCATGGTGGTAATGACCTCATTTCCTCCTCCAACTGAAGGGTTGGTCCACGTAGAAGAAAACACTGAGGCTTTCATTCATGATCAATCATATGGACTAGGAACTTTGTATATAGCAACAGAGTAAGGACTTAACTACAGGAAACCTGATCTCTCTAAGGGGGTGTTTACCTGACAAAACTCGCACCGGTGCGATTTTCACACTGGGATGACTTGTTGATTTCGTATCGCGTTTACATGATGACTAGATTATTTCATATCTCGTTATTTAAAGGTACATTTTTGTGTTGATAAAATACACATGTGGTTCAAAATCGCAAACATTACGCAGCGCTACCCGTTCCAGTCTACCGGCAGACCGATTTCACACCGAAACGGGTAGTCGTTTCACGTTTACATGATACTGTTGCGAGATTTCTTACCGGAGTGAAATTCTTGCCTCAGTACGAGAACCGAGGTGAGCTCACACCGGGGTGACTCGCATCGGCATAACATTTTGTGGTGGTATCATGTAAACATGTATAGAGCCATGAGAGGGACCCGGAGTGAACTCACTCTGGGGTGAAAGTCGCCCCCATGTCATGTAAACACCCCCTAAAACACCCTTTGACAATATGGCTATGTGGCTAGGCAGCTATGCACGTGTTTAGTCCCAGTCCCTGGAATGGGGTTATTTCCTAGTAACAGGCTAATGAGGATGTGGTCATATTTTAATGACTGGGTCGACTGCAGGAAATGCATGTCAAGTGTCCCCCCAAGATTACATTAACGATAACACCTCTGTATTCGGTCAGATTGAAAATCTTTGAATGGTTTAATTGTTTTTTTGAAGACATTTAAATCAAATTCAAGAAAACCGAGCTGGCAGAAAAATTCCATGACTAGCTCCTGTGAATTCACTGTTCATTACGTATGCAGGAATGCAGAGATGAAACTGAAATCTACAACTACCAGGGGATTCAACCTTGGAATAATATATTCCAATGCAATCTTAGTACAATGAAAGTTGGGATTATGAAAATTACATATACCCAAAACTGATGTGACTAAGAAGGGGTCTATAACTGGCCACAGGATCGACCATAATGTGGTAGAAGTTCTGAGAGGCCAGCGGTACATATGCAGGCATCTGGAGCAATCACACAGCTATGTCTCATTTGTGTATGAATCTATGTGCAGGACAAGAGAAATCGCTCAGTTATTGTGAAATACTATTTTATTTGTTTTTTATCTTTTGAAGGAGATTGTCATGGAGTGACGGTGATGGTAAAGGATTCTCTTTGGAGTATCCAGCAATATCTTTACATGCCATTTGCAGAGACACTTCACAATTTCAATATGAATGTATCTACTGCATGATGGATTCACCTCTAGATGGTAAGAACTAAAGCAGAGCTGCACACCTCTGGAAACCTGAAATCTGGAGACTCTCTCTTTGGCAATACCCCCCGTGAAAATCAATAACCGGCAAACCTCCCCGCCGCCGATAAGCATAATTTGATCCATGTCCTAATTTGTTATATGGGAATTGCTTAGNGAGCAATCACACAGCTATGTCTCATTTGTGTATGAATCTATGTGCAGGACAAGAGAAATCGCTCAGTTATTGTGAAATACTATTTTATTTGTTTTTTATCTTTTGAAGGAGATTGTCATGGAGTGACGGTGATGGTAAAGGATTCTCTTTGGAGTATCCAGCAATATCTTTACATGCCATTTGCAGAGACACTTCACAATTTCAATATGAATGTATCTACTGCATGATGGATTCACCTCTAGATGGTAAGAACTAAAGCAGAGCTGCACACCTCTGGAAACCTGAAATCTGGAGACTCTCTCTTTGGCAATACCCCTCTGAAAATCAATGACCAGATGACTAGCCAACCCCTGCCCCCCCCCTCCGATAAGCGTAAGTTGATCCAGGTCCTAATTTGTCACAGGGGAATGGCTTAGGACATTATATGAAGTCTTACATGAATTACAGACCATCGCAATTCACTTTTATGGTAATTTTTGTCAGTGATGAAATACATGCAAAAATGCCCCAGAAAAAGAACTAAGAATCAAAGAAAATTCAAATTTTGGGAGAAAACGGGATAAAATCCAAATTAAAACACAGAAAAGCTCATAACTTGATTTTATCCATGAGATTTGGTGACCCGTACCTGGAAGAGTTGGCATGTATGCTAGAGTAGTTTTGTATTGCAAATAGCAGTAATGAAAGTAGCCAAGGGCCATGTTCACAGTAGCCGGGGAAAATCCCCGGCCCCCACCTCTTAATGACAGTCCTGGTAATACATAATGAATAGTAATTTCTGCAGAAAAGACAAAACATGATAAGGTAGTTCAGTCTTGAGATTTTTCCATTGATCACAAATATCAATAATATATTTGTTGGTATTTTTAAAAATAAAAATATTTAAAAATAATATAAATATTAAATTAATAGTGATTTAGAGGTAACACATCACATAGCGATTCTTCGTCTATCTGATTCCTAATCGAAATGGAAATTGGAAATGTTAGTTTTTGAGGAGAGAGAAAATTAAGATTACCCATGCTGTCGAAGCTGGGATTTGAACCTGAGCCACATTGATGGGAGACAAGAGCTCTACCATGGCGCCACCCTTGCTCTCCAAGGAACAAGTAGCCTGTCCTTGTAACAGTGTTTGTTCCCCTTACTCAACCCTTAACATTTTGTTGGATCTAACCACTTGTAGTTAACTATTTCTGATTTCCAGATAATGAAAATGATGGAGCCAGCGATGACAGTGATGGCAAATTTGGAGAGGTCAGATTTGTGCCCGAGGATAAGTCAAAATGTAAGTCCAGCAAATCACAAGAAAAGTAATTAGTGACTTTTTTCATGTTGAATGTTGAAAAATTTTCTTTTCATCTTTTCAGTGGAAGTCATGTTTAGAGCTATGTCAGATTGTCAGATTCTTCACCCCGACCCCCAGGAACAAGAAGAAGGTAAGCTGTGTGCATCAATAGCCTGCAAATACAGCCGTCTCTCCTCGCTCCCGGCCAGATATGAGATGGTAGATAGCAAATGAGGCGCATAGCACCGAGTTGGCTATAATCATCTCAGATCCAACAAGCATGAGTGGAATTTGTTTTATTAAAAACACCCACAAAATATGGAGATTTCTTCCCGGCTTTATTTGTAAAAAGAACCTTTCTCAGCTTGTTTTTAGTTTTGAGCAGATACATACAGTTACCATATTTTGAGGGCATGGTATTATGGCTCATATACCGTGAAGGCTAAGCCATTCGGAGCTCTAGAATTGCATTATCCAATGATTCAGTTTTTAATAATTTAACTTACCATAATTTATCCACTTTTTTTTGTGACCGTAGAGGAAGATGAAGACTTTTTTTGTGATGCAGATGAAGGAGAGCTCTCTGAGCAAGGACAGGTATATTGTTAACAGTTTATTGAAATCATTTTCGCCCCAGTAAATTAGAATCCTCACTCTAAACCAATGAAGATGTACTGGTTATTTATCAAGTGTAGCTTTTAATCAGAATGCTGCACAACACAGCAGTCAGCTGTGAAACTTTTAATTACCACATGTCGTATTCCCATTTTTTTTCGCAGAAGATAGAGGGTGAGAGAACACTCAAGAAAAGAGAAGCTTTCTCGACGTTACCTCGTACCCAGATCCCTTGTTGACGAAGCAAGAGATCTGGGTACGAGGTTACCCGCGAGGAGACAAGGCGTGCAATGTGTCTTCTTGTGGGAGCCTATTTCATTGTCTTCTTGAGAAATCGCTAAGGTCTCCACAAGAAAAGATGTATTTCTCACCATCTATAAACAGTCAGTACATGAATGTAGTATTCAATTGTTTATTTCTCTTTTAACATTTCAGGCAACCCTTCAGCGCTTAGAAGGAATGCTAGAAATGCCCAGTCAGCAGGAATTTATGCAGATGACTTCGGTGAGAAATGGCGGCGACCATGTGAACGGCCACGGAAACGTGCAAGGTTGGTAGTTGGGTATGACGAATTAGCAATGCTATTTCAACCTCTCCTATAATCATTTAATACCTTGCTCAACCACCGTCAACTAGCCGCGCGCGCACGCGAGGCGCGAAGTACCCTGGGTGCTAGCGAGTTTTCATGTGCGGTTTCCGGTCTCTGTCAAGTCTATATAATAACCCACTCGCCGCTCGTGTCTTAGGTCTTCGGCCGAAGACGCGTCGGCCTGTTACCGAACCCGAAACATCTCCGCCGCACTTGATAGTCTCACGCGAGAAAGGCGCGAAAGAAAAGAAAGAGAAGTTGTCTCAGAAAAGAATAGAAAAGAGAATTTCACAGCGCTGTATAAATAGTTCCCAGAACCAAAATTGCTTCGAAAAGGCTTCAATGGTTAACAAACACCGGCGATCTCTTGTTTGAAAGTAGTGGTAATGTTGCAATTTAAGATAATAGTTCATACTGACATTTGCAATTGTCGCTTGCAATAGGTTTTCACATAGCAAAACCGAAAAAGGCAAACACTTACTTTCTGAAACTCTGACACTTTTTGTTGTTTTCAATCAGCTAAGTTTCACTGTAACTGTCTTTTTTATAATTTCATTTGCAGGCGACGTTGAAATGGACAACAGCGCTGAGAACAGTGAACAGTTTGAAGATGCCGACAAATGACATTGAATGAACAAACATACGAGAGCTTTTACATACATTGTGAAGAAAGCATTTCGTGGCTTCCACAGAGCAGTTTTCTTGTTAGGTACCCTGTTCTTCCCTGTAAATGGTGGAGTTGCCACTTTACTCTAAATCCCTTAGTTGCACTAGAAACTGAAAATTTTACACTCGCATACATTTTGCAACTCTGATGCCATCTGTCCCATTACAACACAGATGTTTGATAACATCAAATTATCATATTATTTAACCGGTGTCTGAAAGGATGATGGCCCGGAGGGTATGCAAATCAGTGAAAAGGCTCTTGTTATTATGGACACAGCCTTGTGGATTACACACTTTTGTAGCAAAATTTACGACTTTGCATTTGCGTATCTACGTTCTAAGTAGCGGTGAGATGTTGTTTTTCGTGTCAATTTCACAGACATAGTGTTGTGTAACAGTATATTTCGTCGAAAACAAGATTTCGATAAGAGACAACTTTTGAAAGAAAGTAGACAGTTCCAAGTTAATCGATTGCATAACTTTGTTTGGTTCAAATAAAGTACACAATGCTCGTACTTGAAGGAGCTTCATTCTTTATATAAGCTAGCCCTTCTCTCTCTGGGTGCGGGATTAGGGAAGCGTTAACGGGATACGGGATTTGACCGCTACCAGGAAGCAGGGATTCGTTGAAATTAGGGCACACTATTGGATGCAGGACTGGGAAAAAAACCTTGATGCGAGATTCTCGTGAAAAAGGGGCGGTACTGTGATATAAAGACTCTCTTTTTAGACCCCATTCGATTAGTGCAGCTTTCTCTTCCATAAAGAGAGTTTGTTCACAGGCTGGCGTCTATTCACTCTCTTTACAGTAGTAAATAGGCCACTTCCGAGTTCCAAAAACCCTCACTTTCAAAATGAGGCTAGGTGCACAACTTTCTTGTGAAAATGAGTTTTATTTGCATGAGAATGAAAATGATTTCCATATCAAAGGCTGAGCACCTTCCCTGGTTTTGAAACAGAGGCCCGGGGGAACTCAGAAATGGGCTATTGACCGTTCATAGACCACATTCTTTTGTTTCACTCCTTACCGACGCAGCATCGCAGGTCCTTTAGCGTAAACTAATATAACCCATTTACTCTTTTTTTTTTCCAGCTTTCGCGACCCTCGCGTGCCTCTCAACATTCGCGTACTCGTTTCAGTCTCCTATCCCGTCTCTGATCCGGTTGCCCTTCGAACTCCTGCTGTGTTTTTGGATTTCATTCTTTATCGTTTTATATATTTATTAAGAATTTTTTATTATGTTATTGAAATAACACCATTTTAGGTTGGCTTGTTTGTTTTCCATAGGCGAACATGTGGTATGACTATCCAAGGTCACATATTGTCTTTTTCTGTCATGAGTGGGTTCAAAACAAATGTAATAATATCGATAAATTTGCAATGCGGTGAAAGCAAATTAAACAGGAAGATGAAAGAGAAATTTACCTTTTTTGGGAACACAAACTAATAACCCTTCTAATATCCGAAGCGAAATTTGAGTACGAGTGTGAGTGTGAGTAACTTTATTGCCGAAGCGAGCGAAGACGCGTTTGAATGCAAATTGCAGAAATAAGTGAAAAATCTATTTCCGGTGAATACTTAAAATAAAATACTAAGAATTAAAATGAAATAATAAACATCCATTTACAGAGAGCACATCTGCAGTCAATTGCAGATGACAATGACATTTGTTGTAAATTTCTCTTACAGAGAGCGACTCTGAAGCTTTTTGTAGTAAATTATTCTACTATTTGGGCGCATGATAAGCGAAAAGATGTTATTTGTAGAATGTTCTTGGCGTAGGAAGTAGACGCTTAAGGTGTCCCCGTAGGACATAAATATAACAGTCTAGCCCCGGGACCAATCCTGGATCATGTAAAATTGCGAAGTCATGGGTGCCAGAGGCCAAGGGCGCAGTGCTTTTCAGGAAAGACAATTCCTTCAAAACGTTGCGTTCGAAATCGTTTGGAACACTTGTAGTACTTCTCAGTGAAAAGTTTTGCATCAAAATTTTTTGCGCCTGGTGTTTATGCCAAAAGCCACGCAAAAAGCAGGACGTTCGTTGACCGGAAACGTGATCTTCACGTTAACTTCCGGATTCAACTGCTTTTAGTATTCAAACAACAACAGTGACGACATTTCCGGTAATTTGAACAAAAAAACAAAATCGCAGAACAGGCCGTCCGCTGGCTCATTTTCAAGATAGCTTTCATGCCGTTTTACTGCTGTCAGAGTTTGCTGGTGGCTGATCGAGAGGCCGAAGATATGAACTATTATCGAAACAGCAATCACGATGTAACCCCTCGAAGCAACTGCCGTCGCCGCATAGTCACCAAAGAAATGGCCTTTTACTGTTTTGATATTCTATGCAGCCACTTACATCGACATCAAGAACCGCCTTGGCCAAATTTTCCCAATGGTGAATTGTGAGTATAAGTCTTAGATGAAGTTCCTTGTATTATTTACAGTCTAGCAGGACAAATGCTTGTTCATGCTCCCCCCGTTTTGGGGCTGGTCGATGTGCGTTTCAAGGGAAAACCATGTTTTGTCGAGCTTAAAGGTTTCTCGACCCTCTTCGCGACAACAAAAGATCTGTAAAATCTCCTCTTGCGAAGGGACTGCTGCTATCGAACCCTCGACCCCTGGTTACCATTTCCACGACCAAATATTTTATGTTATGTCTAATACGCTATTTCAGTAGGATTTTCTTGTTAGCTATTGAAAGAATAACGATTCTTGGCCTTGAAACCGACCCTATGTTTTGCATGACTTACGCGCAAATTCATGTTAATTAAGGTGACCTATTTTGGCAGTGTTTTCGTTTAAACCTCAGCGCGGCCTGAGTGATTATTTCATTCCCGATTAATGTTTACCTGCAATCGACTCTTCACTTCAAAACGACAGCGTATTTGCCAAATCTAGAAATTTCCTTTTCAACCACAATAGCATTGATTATTCCGACCCCAAAACGACCTGTTTATCCAAGCAGCTTTGGCGACAGTAGTGCTTATATTTGAGTTTCCTGTACAAATGGAAATTATTCACACCGGCTTTTGTGTCAGCTGTTGAATTTATTGAGGCCTTTCAGCAAAACCTTTATCAGATGCATTTGTTGAACGTGACTCACTGCTTCTTTGGACGATATTTTGTAACAATAATAATTTTCTCACAAGTATGAAAAACCTTAATTGAGGAAGAGAAATTTTAAAGTTTAAATCTTCAAAGAATTTTTTTCTCAGATTCGTTTGCGTTGTATATTGTTTCCTGCAAGCAAAATATGTCGTTTGAATTTGGTCTCCTTTTGTTGGAAAAGTCATGTTGAAACCCGAATTGACCACATTGTAACCAAGGGTGAAATTAAGTGACTGACTCATTTTTGTTTCAATTTTTTTTTGCATATTAGTTTCTGATTATTCACTTCATACTCAAGTACATGCAGGGATTTTTTTAAAAAAATGAATGTTACCATTGCTTTCCCAGTTTGAATTAGTTTTTGCCCACAACTTGTGATGATTGCTTTTCTGTGCTCAAAAAAAATTCTTGTTTGGACAAAATTCTATTTTTAGAAATTAATTTATTTTTGTTTGCCTTTTCTTTTTTATTTATTCCATCATTTTTTTTCTATTTTGTACTGAATATCACTTAGTGACGAAAAAGCTTTCAATACATTGTAAAACATGAAACAGTCCAAATTCGAAATATTGATATTTTTAGCTTTTTAGATCTTTGATTTGATTATTCTGATATATTAATTTTATATACATTATAGCTCAGACTTTGGGGGGCTTTTATGTGGGAAGGCTCCGCCCCGAGGTCCAACCCTTCACCCTTTTATATACCAGTTTTGACATAAAAGGTACCCCTTTTATGTACCTTTAATTGAAAAATGGTACCTCTTTCACATACATAGTCAAAAAAGTTTGCATGCCTTTTAACTGCTGTAAGTGCAGTGTCTTGAAAGTATGAATAAATCACAAAACCACAATGTTTTCTAGACTTTTTCACAGCCATAAAAATGGATCTGTTAGCTTATTTTAGCCTTTTTACAGACCGAAAAGACAGATTTCCCTACCCTTTCATATACTTCAACCAGAAAAGTCCTTATCATTTCATTTACCTGAAGCCTCAAAAAGGTAACCCTTTCAAGCAGAGCCTCCCTGTATAGGCCATCATAGGGAGTACCTCCACCTGTTACTCTTGACCACTCTCTGTCATATTTAAGATTTGTTGAAAAATTATCCCACCTTATTTTTGGGCCAAACTGAAGCCTGAAGTGTAGTAATTTATTGGGCTGCCTGTGGCATGCCCAGTTATAAAATGAAAGAAAATTGGAAGACTTGGTATGAAAACTACAATATTGCTTGCAGTATTCTACCAAGAAACAGCTGGGGCCAGATTTCTGGATTCAGATCCATGCAGTGCTAGCCAAAAGAAGTAATTTTTAGAGTTCAGGGCCCAGTTGTTCAAAGACCGATATAAAAAAGTTAGTACTTAACCCAAGGGTAAATTTAACCCGGGCTTCCTTTTCTTGTGTTTAAAAGCATTTTCTCGGATAATTTTCTCTGTTATTTTTAAAGTTTTCAATAATCAACTTGTCAACAAAAAGAATTAAAACTGAAAGGATTTTTAAGCTTTCATATCTGAATTCAAATTCCGCACTAACCCTGGGTTATCTTAACCCAGCTTTGAACAACTCGGCCCAGTTTATTACTCCTATTCGGGAATATGGTCAAGTGAACATTCCCCATCTCTATCACTATCTCTCTTTTTCTCAGGATGGGAGTAGCTAAGACTAGCTACACCCAGTATAAAAAACATTTAGGCCACTGCAACCCAATATGGCCAATGAAAGGCATCTTGTTATTTTTGAACCTGGGTCCTTGTCTTATCTTAGGGTCTAGATGAGTGGACTCCCTACTTGAAGATCTGAATCCACCATCTTAAGTTCTAACTAGA